TTCGAGCAGCCTAACTGACGTAAGAAAATTATCAAAGAACACGGACTTGTTCTTGCCCCATTCCTCTTCTGTGAGAGATAAAACTACTTCTAACCGAGACCATATCCTTCGTATTTTTCTTCGACAGCTTCATCCTTTCCTTGGTGTACAGAAGCTTTTTGATATAACCCCGTTGATCCGCCAAGCACCATAATTTATAACCACGCTTAATTGGTTTCATAGGGCAATATTGTTTTATGGCAGTTCTACCCTTGAAAAGAATCATGGATTCGTCAACTGATAGCTCCTTCGTTCTATGGTATACCTGCTGAAAACGTTGATTTAGAGCTTCAACCATAGGGCGAATTTTGAATAGCCGATCCTTATTGTTTTTCGGAATTTTAGAATTATCATTTACATGCATAAAACGTAAAATCAAATCAAATCTGTTTCGGGACATGGCTTTTGATACTACGGGGACTGCCATATCTTCACTGATACGACGATAACTTGGCAGCTGATGGTAGCCCATGCAAAAGTTTATGCCGATAAATGCCAATAGTTCACTTTTTTGTAGATTCAAAGTTTTATTTTTTTGTACCGCATATAAATTTGAATGAAATATGATTCCTTCCAATGGCTTCCATATAAGATACGAAAAGTTGTATTGGCGTTTACATATTCTCAAAAAAAACCAGTTACTGGTCGCTCTACTTAGTCAAATTGTGAAACCACGGTGGGTTTTTCAACTTTTTTCCATTTTCGCAGCGATTTTCAAAAGCTGCGCTTCGGAAATTTTACGGCAAAATATTCGTCTCTTCATTTTCTTCTTCCTGAATTTGGTTTAGAACTTCAATCAAAAACTGATCTTCATCGTTCGGTGAAGTCATCTCCTCTTCATCTTCATCTTCATCCTCACTCTCAATATCCGTATCGTGTGCATTATAAATTGGAATTTCTTCCAAAATGGAAGTAATTTGATTTTCTGTCAAAAATCTGCCATGAACTCCAGCCATTATATTATATTATCTGTATAAACCTGTATATAAGGAAATCAGTGTTGTGTGTAAAAAACAAGGGCCAATAGAGCCCGACGGTACTTACAAGTCTCCTTCAGAAAATCAAATATCACTGGTAAACAAAAAAGTTAGACTCCTTTGCGTTTTCAACAATAAATATCAAATTAACAAAACTTTAAGTTTCTCTTTATTTCCTGGAGAAATTTTAAGAATTTTGCAATACATAAGTAAAATAATACAACACTTTTTTTTACGACCGCACTATGGAAAACACTAACTTGAAATGAGCATAGAGAGCGAAAAATTCACAAATATTACAAAAAGTACTGTTATATGTGAGCTTTATTTTGTACTTTAAAGTACCGTTGGTCTGCTTGCAGCAAGAAGTTCAGCGATTCTGTTTAAAACAGAAAAATTCGAAGCGATACTGGAGAGTACCGTCAGACAACAAGGGGTTAAACAAATTCGACAGAGCATCAAAATTCACAGCTGAGCACGGGAAGGGTTGCCAATTAATTTTAGGTAGTATTGAAATTAATCAGATACCAAAATTTGTGTTCCATTCCTAAATCCGTGGAATAACGAATATTGAATTCTTACGAACAATTTTTGAATAAAAAGTGTTACCAACACCGGAAAATACGCTCCCGAACTTTGGCTGCCTTTCTTCTTATTACTTTATTCTTAACTGCATTTACTAAACTTAAACGTTTATTTAGAAAAGTATTTACAATAAGATTATTCAAAAGATTGGCAATACCATCTGAAGCTATAACACTTTCTCACCTTCCTTGCAATTTGTGGAACAAATTTCAAAATAATTGCGTACACTTGGCGGCAATGAATGATATAAGCAAATTTAGTATACTCTGCTGTGATAGGCTGAGCGTTATGATGCGTTACTGTCTAGTCGCTGGCCTGCCTTCGCTAACTTCAATTTCTAGTCGTATTTCTGATCCCTCCAAAAACAGAGCATTCTTTCCCTGGCTTCGCCCTGGCCAACGCGCAAAGGACCATAAATCTTTCGCAGCACTTCTCTCTCGAAAACTCGCAACGTCGACTCATCAGTTGTTG